AACAAAACGGATCAGAGGATCTGATTCTTTTGCTTGTTTAAAACATATCTTCAATGTTCTCGAACATTGGCAAAATAGTGGACAAATGGATAGTTGATAGAAGCAAGGTTAGTAAATAGGTCTTCCCATGAGCCCGAGATTATGACCACAGTCTATAATCCAAATATCCACACATGTTCCTAGTAGATTCTAGATACGTACTTCAAAAACAATGACTCAGATGGTTTTAAATCTTTAAAAATCACTGCTATCTGGCAATAAACTATAAACAGTTCACTTCTGTCTTCAAGATTATAACTGTAGAATCTACTCACCTTTGCTTGGAAAGGAACACGGGTCCAACATGCAAACATCCCGTTTTCACAATGCACGTGGAAATGACCAGATGTGTGTTCTTACATGCACACTGAGTGGCATTTTCTGCACTGCTGCTTGCTTCAAGTATTTTATCTGAAAAATTTTATTAACATCATTATTAACATATTTATCAACATTATTTGTCCAATGCTTTTCTGATTAAGCAATTAAAATTCTTTTTTAAAAACCAATAACCAATATGTGTGTTCATTGCAGCATTTCTCACAATGGCCAAGAGGGAGAAACAACCCTGATGCCGTCCTCAGATGGAGGCGTAAACAAACTGGGTGCACACATGCCAGGGGACACTAGGTGGCCAATAAAGCAAATGAAGGCCTAATGCCTGCTAAAAATGAATGGATGGAATTTGAAGACATTCTACCACGTGAAATGTCAGTAACAAAAAGACAAATATTGTGTGACCTCACTTTTATCAAAAGACAAGAGGCTAATGTATCTAGATCAAAGTTTTTTCGTAGTTACCATGGGCAACAGGGAAGGGGTTGGGGAATGCGGGCTACAGCCTGTGGAGTGGTGTGCTTCAGTCAGTCAGCTCTCTGTCACTCTGTGGCTGATGGTTCCACAAGATATGCCTTCCAGGAAGCAGCCATCAGGACACCACCAGGACTCCTGTTTCAGTTAGCGGTGATAGAAAAAGCACATTAAGGTAGGACTGCCCAGCTGATGAATGCCATTGTTTTCAATCAGTCGTACACCTATGAAGTCGAATTGGCGCAAGTTACGATAGATATATTTTAATCAATGTCTAAAGAAAAAGGAGCTGCCAAGGTTTCTTATGCAGAATCAAAAACCTCATGGGTTTGGGTTCCTTGATGTGGAGGTTTAGGCTTATATTGAACATTTTGATGCAAGATTCTATAGGAGAAACTTCATTAGAGAAGGAAAAATGCAGAACAGAATTTCAAATAGTGATGGAATCCAGAATTTCTGGAGTCTGGAGGCTGGATAAACCCCTGAAACTACTGTCCTGAGATAATCTTTAATTTTTTTAACATAACGGGTTCATATTTAGAATAGTACTTCTTACCTTGGGGGTATTAATCAGTTAATTGATATAAAGATTCATTTGGCTTTTTTAAAACAATAAATCTTTTTCTCAAACAACAAATATATTTTTCTCAACTTTTTTCTCCAAAGATATATAGTCTGCACTATTTCAGTACATTTTTGGGTGTAAAAAGAACAGTTCCCCCACTTAACAGACATCAATTTGTTCCCATGTAGAGAAAAACATCAAAAATGCAAAATTACCCCTATTTACTAGGTTTCTTGGGCAACTGTCAGACATCAATGCTCTGTCTTAATAACTAACGAGCACAAACGTTTTTGAGGGTCAGGTTTGATCCAGGAGGCCCTTCAAACTCCCATCTGTCCGTGACTGGTTTGTCTATCGGCCTAGCAAGCACAGACAGCTG